TTCTGCCATGCTGTGTTCTTGAGCCTCTGAACACGCCTGTTCTGAAGACCTTCCTAGTGGTCCCCTCTGCTCTCACAGTGGCCTCTGGGCCCCCCCCCCATTCCCACCTACCTTCTGCTCTGTCCTGCTCCGCTCCGTACTTCTTCCTGATGCCTCCTTTGGTGTCCCACATCCTGTAGTATTCTTTCTTTTTACAAAACACTCAAGAGTGTTTCCCTTGGCATCTCAGGTCCACAAGTGGTTCACAGGCCAGCAGTCAGGGCATCATCTGGGAGCTGGCAGAAAAACAAAATGCAGACTCCCAGACTCTGCCTGTGAGCCCTGGGGTCAGAGTTGCATTTCAGCATCATCCGTAGGTGATTTGTGTCCACATCTGAGTTTGAGGAGTGCTGGTCGGTAAGTCACTGTGTATATGGTTATATTGGTGTACAGCCTTTCTCCAGGACATGGGGGATAACTTCAGATGCCAAGTTTAGCGACATCAGGTGATGGCTGCCGTGTTGGCCAGATTCTACAGTTTATGGTGGAGGAGTGGATAGTGGAGATGGCCAAGGAAATTATGTACCCTTCACACCTACCTACCTGGCCCCAGAACTCAGACTCTGTAAAACCAACTGCAAGAAGTATTCTGGAAACCCAAGGAAGGATCAATTAATCAATAGAAAACAGTCATCAAGCATGTTGCAGAGTTTGTCCCCCCTCACAGAACACACACGGGTAGAAATGTCTGTTATTTTAGCATATGTTTTGGAAAGGAAAATATTTATTGTTTCTTTCCTTTATTGTAGCATTAATACAGTTTCTAAAGTAGTAGCTTTAGAAAACACAATATGTCACATGAAGAAAATAAAACTGACTCATGGTTCCTCTCTCCATCAGTGTTCATTTAGTACTTTTGGTGGCCATTCATTCTTTTCAATAAGTATTTACAAAGGCCTGCTACATTGTCAGACCCATTCCAGGTACCAGGGATTTAGGGTGAAGAACACAGTTCCTATTTTTAAGCAGTTCTGGGGCTGGGTGTGGGAGACAAGCACTGCACAGGTTCCAAATGGCAGTATGTTCATGTCCCAGAGCTGCTGGGACAAAGCACCACAAATGAGATGGCTCAGAGATTGAGAGTTTGAAATCAAGGTGTCTGGAATGGTTGATCCCTGTGCAGACTGAGAGGGGTCATCTGTCCCATGCCTCTCGCCTGGCTTCTGTGGCTGCTGGCAATCCTTGGCAATCCTTGGCAATCCTCAGCTTGTTGATGCTGCAGTCTGGACTTTCATACCATCTTTCCTTTTTCTCTGTTCAGTGCTGTCTTCCTGTAAGGACACTAGTTGGAGCAGGAACAACCTCCACCCCTCCAACCCCTTTCAGGATGACTTTAATCACATTTGCAAAGGTCACATTTTCAATCCAGGCCACACTGGAGGTACAGGGTATCAGGACTTTAACCCATAACACTCCAGGACAGTACAGAGTTCTGGAGGAGCAAGAGCCCCAGGAAGATTGCTAGGAAATGAGCTCCAAAGGGGGATGAGAAGAGTTGGAATCAGGTAGGCAAGGGTGGATGGTTAGACAAGCATGCAGTCCTTGGAGCATGGCGGTAGGGGCAAGCTGCGGAAGTTCCAGGTTACATGAGACATAGTAGCACTTGCGAGGGATAAAAAGAAGGAAGTGTGGCCCCTTTACAAGATGGGGCAAGAAGCCAGGACCTAGGGGAGGAAGTCAGGGACTGGAGGTCAGGTGAAGGAAAGGAGGTGGCAGGTGTCAAGCAGAGGGGTGGATTTCATCTTGGGTACAAACCAACCCTTCCTGTGCCTGATCAGCCTGGAGGATGTGTTGTTCTAAGTCACAGGTTCTAAGTCCCTGGCTGGGAGAAGGCACATGTTAGCTTTGTACCAGGAAGAAAGCAGGAGATGGGCCTTGCCTTCCATAAGACTTCTCTGCTCAGGAGATGGCTCCTTCAGCCCAGAGTCCCATGGACCTGAGGACATGCTGAGCCTGGGACAGAGGCAGGGACATGATCACAACCCCTGCATTACTGTGAGGGCTGTGACTGAAAGCAGGGCCTGGGTAGCTCGCTGAGGCCAGAGACCCAGGCTGATCTCTCAGCAACATATTTTCAGTGCTCTGCTCTCATCAGGGACTGTCTGGAGCCTGGTGCCTTCCTTCATAGGACCCAGCCTAACTGGGTCTCAGCTCATCACTTACCACACCCTCAGAGGGTTGTTCCTTTTCTGTGTATGACGGGAGAGGGCCCATCCTACCCAAAGCTTCCTGTAACCACCTTGCCTGGGCTGGGTGGGCCAGCCTGGGTGGAGGAGAAGTGGGTCAGCTGGTAGCCATGGTGACAGCAGCTGCTGCCTGCCAGCCTTCCCATCTCTTCACCACAAACCTCACCGATGAGCTTCTTTGTCCGGTCCAGCAGAGATGGGAGCCGGGAGGATGGGGTTGGGGGATGGAGTGTGTGAGTGTGTATGTGCTCCAGCTCACACAAGGGTATGCTCCAGCCTGGTGTGTGAGCCCCAGCCTAGGAAGCCAGGCTTAGGGTAAGACTCGACTCACTTTCCTGCCAGTGGGAGCAAGGAGCTTTGCATCTCTGGCTGGACAGGGCCAAGGGGAGGAGACACTGCATGTGACTGTATAAAGCTGTGCACACACGAGTCTGAAAGTCTGTGTGGCCGATCTGTATGTCTTTGTGTGGGTGAGCATGTGCATATCTGTGAACACATGTGCTTGTGTCTTTAAAATGTGGGTAGCAGCTTTGTGGGTCTGTATGATGTGATCACATTTGAAATTATGTGCTTGTTTTGACCGTGTGTGTGTGTGTGTGTGTGTGTGTGTGTGTGTGTGTGTTGGGGGTATTGTCTAGAAAGATAAGAGATCGTTCATTAGCATAGATGAGGCAGCATGCTTCTCACACTGGCAGCCTGTGCTTTCTTGACCTAGCCTGTCCACCCCACCACATACCAACCCCTGCCACCCTCCCACCTCGTCCTAAGTAGAGGAAGGAAGGGCTGGACTTGAGGGCCTCTACCAGGGTTTGGGCAGGGTTCTCAGGTGCCAGACCAGCATCCAGTAAGGGCTCCAGTGGTGCTGATGCAGCTTTCCCGGCTACTACCCATCACAAGTGAGAGGTGCATTCTTACCCTGCACACCTAGAGTGGTGGTGGTGGTGGTGGGTTGTCTTGTTAATCCCTGGACCTCCCCCTGAACAGGCTGCACATGGTGAGTAGGGGCTAACACCTGGAAAGTGTCTGCCACATACCAGGCACCATCATTCACAGTAAGAAGGTAGTTGCCTGACTGGGCAGTGAGCACATACCAGTCTCGTTTTGTAATCTTGTCCGATACTCCTAAAGCACACGTGATCATCCCACTTTATGGAATAGGAGCCATGTACTGGGGTTGGGGGAGATGTCCTCTACCTCTGCTCAGGTGGCAGGCCTGGGTGTCCACTGCCCAGCTCCTGAGTACATGTTTCTTAATTAATTAATTAATTAATTGGCTCTGTGCATTTGCCCCATCTGATCCATACTCAGCTGGGAAAGGTGGGTAGGTCCAGGTGGCTATTAGACTCCTTGGGGTGGGGTTCAAGACAGGGTTTCTTTGTGTATTCTTGGCTGTCCTGGAACTAGCTTTGTAGACCAGGCTGACCTCAATCTTAAGAGATCCACCTGCCTCTGCCTCCCAAGTGCTGGGATCAAAGGGGTGTGCCACCACCACCTGACTCCATCACACTCTTCTCAGAGAATAAGAAATGGAAGTTAAGAGACTCTGGGTGACTTTCTTAGAATTAGTGCCTCCCACCCTGGCTACTGGGCAGTGGTTCTCAACCTGTGGCTCACAACCCCTTTCATAGGAGTTGCTGAAAACCATAGGAAAACACAGATATTTACATTATTATTCACAAACGGTAGCAAATTTAGTTATGAAGTACCAACAAAAATAATCTTATGGTTGAGTCAGCACAACATGAGGAACCATATTAAATGGTTACAGCATTAGGAAGGTTGAGAACCACTGGTCTAGGAGGTTCCCCAGAGAGTAGCTAGAGGAAGAGAGTTTGGGGCCCATAGCTCCTGAGCATTCTGGCCTGGGTGAGTCCTTCATGTATTAGAGAACATTGTTTGGTTTGCTTTAATGTAGACATAGTGGCATCCCGCACATCGGAGGTAGAGGCAGGAGTATCAGAAGTTCAAGATTATCCTTAACTATATAATGAGTTAGGGTCAGCCTGGGCTACTTGAGACTGTCTCTAATTAAGCTTCTTCCACTCCTGAGGCACACATCACAAAATTAATTAATTAAAAAAATAAAAAGCTTAAAGCTGCTGAGCTTCAGCAGTTTGACAATGAAGTATCTAAAGGCAGATCAGGGGACCAGGAGTTTTAAAGAGGAGACAGTAGGACCCACTGCTAGGATAATGCTCGAGGGGAACCTTGGTGGATTCCACAGCAGGGGAGGATGACCATGACTGAGGTGAGGGACAAACATGCCAGGCAGACAGAGCTTAAGTGAGAAATTTTATTAGATAGGGACGAGGTGGGGAGGTAAAGAGATACAGAAACACAGAGACTGAGAGAGGACAGAAGAGAAGAAGGAGACAGGAAAAGTCCTGTGTGCCCCAGGGGAGCAGCAGGAAAGAGGGGGAAAGAGAGGGGGGGCCAGGTGTCTTTCTTTTTAAGGGGTCCTTTGTACCTGGGCTGACCAGGGTACTGCCTGACTGCACTCTGCCAGGTGACAGTGGCAGGCCAACATAATACCTGAATCCTTACACCCACACACCTTTGATCCCAGTCCTCAGGAGGCAGAAGCAAGCGGAGCTCTGAGTTTGAGGCCTTCAAAAACAAAAATAAAAACAAAACAAAATTAAAAGGAGGAAACAGAATCTGAAAATTGGAAGGACTTTCTCAATGTCCCACAGCCATCCCCAAAGTCGGTGTTTTTCCTCCAGCAGCTGCTAGAATTCCCTGGGGGCAAAGGCCTTAACTTTCTTTTGTGCTCAGCTCTTTCCTTGCAGACCCTGTCATCACATTTCCTCCCCCTGGAAGCCTGCCCTGATTGCCTCTGCCTCCTTTCCTGAAAGTTGCTATCTCTGCAGAAGTGAAGCATTGTGCAAATGCCCTAGGGGCATGCTGTGGAGAGGGCACAGCCCCCTGTGATGCGGAACACCACACTCAGATTCACCAGCTCGGTGAGCTTACCTTTCCTTCCAGGTGAGAGGGAGGGAGGGCACCTCTGACAGGTGCTGGGAATCTGGGATTTTAGAAGACTTGGGTTGCAGTGTGGTCTTGGATGCATTTCCTTTCCATTCCAGGCCTTGGCCACCACCTCTGTGGTTGAAAGGTGGGAGTAGGAAAGACATGTCAGTTTGGGCTCGGGAGCTGCTTCTCTGTTTGGCCCCTGGGAACAAGGTGGACTAGTGGCGTCTGCTATGATGGTGATGGAGAAGGGTGGATGAGCCTCAGGCACTTGCTGTCCTTTCTAGCATCACAGTGCAGGCACCCTGGGGTGAGGTCCTTGTGAGAGTGAGTGGCTGCATTCATCTGGGCTTTTTGGATGCTTCATTGACTGCCAAGAAAAACTGACTGGCTTGTCAGTCACATAGTCAAAGGGATGGAAGGTTCAGGGGGCTTGGCATGGCCTTAAGACCTGCTCCAGGAACTGTAGTGTCCCTAGGGTAGCAAGACCCCAGGTAAAGGTTCCCCTCCAAGGGCAGAACAGGAAGCAGCAGGCCTGTTCCTGGATGTCTCCCAAGGATACATCAGAACTGTTTCCTGTGCTGCTGTGTAGTGGGCGGAGTCAGCACAGAACACTGCCCAGGTGTCATGAACTAACTACTCAAGCAGGGGATTGTGATGTGGCCCTCTTGGAAAGGATGTTATGTTGTTCATTCGGCAGTCATTTGGGTCGTCAGTGTGTGGCATGCTGTGCTCAAGGTTTCTTTCAGGGCCTTACTGTATCATGTCTCTGCTACCTCCCCTTTCTCCTCCCTGTGTTCTGATGGCTCGGGGTTGCTTTGCAGTGAGCTACTGTCCTCTGGGGCCCAGTGTGATTGACCCCTGTGCCTCTGGCTTCCCTGAAGGGAAGACTTAGAGACATAGTTCCCGTTGTCCTCCGCCCACCATCCCTCCTTGTTTTGAGGTAGGGTCTTATAGAACCCAGGCTGGCTTTGAACTCATCATGTAACTAAGGATAACCTTGAACTTTGGTCCTGCTGCCTCTACATCCCAAGTGCTGAGATTACAGGTGTGTCAGCTAGACAAGCATTCTACGGCTGAGTTATAGCCTCAGCCCCAAGAATCCTGGTTCTGAGCCTTCCACCGAAGCATACATGGTCTCAGACTTTTCCAGAGCACCTAATTTGACCCCTTCCACTTAATACAAAGATGAGGAAACCAAGACCTGGAAAAGAATACAGAAGGAATCTGTGTTCTGACCTACATCCTGCCCCCCAAGCCTCCCAGAAACCTTCAGACCTAGTGCTTTGTCTGGCTCCTCCTACCTGTTGGGGAGTAGCCTGCAGGCTGGGGTCGCCTAAGCACTCATCAGTTCTTCCAGTGGGTGCTTGATGATGAGAACATGGCTCTGTATGGTACAAAGTCCTGGATGTCAGTCTGCTTGTCTGTTTATTATTTATGAGGAAACATGAGCGCCCAGGGTTTTTGGCGAGGTCTGGAATTCTGTCCCTTCTCACCCCTCAAGTGCCGTGGAGTCTCCCCAGAGAACTGTATGCTTTTCTAGCTATAGTCTAGGGTTTCTGCCCCTTAAATGCTCACAATAGCTTGGGGGAACTTGGACCACAAAGGTTTTTTTTTTTTTTTTTTTTTTTTTTTTTTTTTTTTTTTTGGTCATAGATAGTAACCTTGCCATTTTCTGAAAGAACATAGAGACTCAGATTGGTGTCTGCCCTGGAGGGGTGGGCTCTCGCCTTTGGGTAAAGTCTGCACTGAGGGGCAGGGACTACTGAGCAAGTAGACACAGGAGACCTGGGTTCAAATCCAAGCCTTGCCACTTCCTAGCAGAGTAGGACAAGCTGATCTTCTGCTTCTCTGAGACTCACCGTTCTCATCTTCCCTAAAGAGATAATGAGGCGCCTCTTAGAACTGCTGTAGTGGGCAAATTAGACTCACACTGTGGCAGATTCACAGCATCAGATAAGCCCTGTCCCATCTTCCACCAGAAGACTGTACAGATACCCCCAAACCCTCACAGACTGGCACACGAACTGGAAACTAAACAGAAGAGATCATCACAGACCACAGGGACTTTCCATTAGCTTTAAGGTTGATGGAGACTGGGGAAATACAACCCCAGACTGTGCACTGCCATGGGGGGGGCATGCACAGAGGAATCAGTCCACAGCCCCAAAGAAGGCAGAAGGAGGCCTTGACTTATCCTCTGATTCGGCCTTAATTCACTGGCCTACCAGGAGCCATGCGGACAGTACAGTAGCTTTTCTCAGCAGTGTGGGGACTGTCTTCCTTAGCATCCAGAAAAAAAGCCTCCCTCTTCCACCTCCATTTCCCCTTCCCCTTCCTACATCCTTTTGAAGAAGGGTGTATTCCCTCAGGAAAAATGTCCTGACCCCTGGGATGCATAGCTAGCTCAGGAAGAGACTGGAGGCCAGCGCAGAACAAAGGTGGCACACGGAGAATGAAGGTGTATTTCTTACTATCCTGAGCAGAGCCAGCTGATGCGGCCTTTTTCCTAACAGCCAAATGATAGAACTTTGTATCTGGAGACTGGAGTTCTGGGGCTGGAGAAATGGCTACGTGGGTAAAGGACTTGTGCAAATGAGGGCTGGGTTTCAGATCCCCAGCTGGTCTAACCACGTTATTACACTCCATGTACAGTAAGAGACCCTGTCTTAGAAAACAAGGTAGAGTGATGATTGAGGGCGACGCTGGACATCAGTCTTTGGCCTCCACATATACAAACACAGAGACCCCACCTCTGTGTAAGAGACGCCTGCCATCCCCTCCCCCAGAGTGTTCTCAGAGCCCTCTGTCCTCCTCTTCCCTGGCTCTTATCGTAACCACCATTAAATATTTAATGTTGTAATTAGTTATTTACTGTCTGTCTCCCCTCCTGGACTGGAGGTCTTGGGAGAGCAGGACCAAGTGGACCTGGCTCACTGCTGTATCCCTGGCACTCAGCCTTGGCCTTGGAATTTTAGGAAATTAAACATTTGTTGAATGCAGTTAATGAGGACACTAAATTTTTATACTTTGGAAAGGGATTTGGCAATATAATCCAAGAATTTTTTTTTTTAAAAAGCCCTAATATCAGGCAAGATGCTTTTGGCTATAATGGAGAACACTGGTTCACACTGGCTTAAGCAACAGAAAACACACCCTTTTGGAACTGAGTACCCAAGAAAAGCAGGCTCCAGGTGTGGCCCCATATTCTTCGTGCTGTGGTCTTCAGCAGGACTGGCCTCTGCCTGCATTTGGCTGTAGCAGGAGGGGTAGAGGTTGGGAAGGGGCAGGCCTCTACCACTCCTAAAGTGATTGTTTGAGCAGTGGTCAGGTGCCTACTCCTGAACAAATGACTGCTGAGGAGGAAGCCATTCATCAGTAACCTTAAGCTAATCAGTGTCTGCCTCAGAGACAAGGCAGGGTAGCACCTGGCTCAAACCATCGTCTGCCAGCCTGCAGAGAGGGGGTTGGGGTCTCCACACCCCCTCACAACCGCCAGAAAAATCAGAACAAGTTCAGGAAGATGTTCATCTGAGTGTTTGCTTGTTTTGTTTGAGACATCAGTGACCTTGTACTCCTGATCCTCCTGCCTCCACCTCCCAAGTGCTGGAATCACAGGCATGAACCACCGTGCCTGGCTTCAATGTTTATTTAAAAAAGAGGAGAGAAAAACTTGGATCCGATTCAGGAGGCAACTGCATTGAAATATTTAAGTCAATTATGTACTGTCTGTACGAGGGACAATTAGAGTGGCATTGGAACATTTATACAAAGTGTTAATGACATTGGGAAATGCTACAATTTGATGTTAGATGAAAAATAACAGGATTTAAAATCGTATTTACAATGTGAGTCCAATTTTTTTTTTTTTTTTTTTTTTTTTTTTTTTTTTTAAGAGCACAGAACAGAGCTGGGGTAAGTTGACGGTGAGGCCTCTCTGAAGTATAGAGACTGTGATTTTAATTCCACTTTAGGCTTTTCTGGGCCAGCCCCTTCTGTCCTCTCTGCACAGACTTTTGTTCCTGCTCTTGTCACTCGATACAGGAACAGCCTGCCTTAGGACTGTCCTCTACATTTTATGCACAGTCCCTATTTAATCCTTACAGCCATCCTGTGAAGTAAAAAGGGTTTTGATGTTTTTGTTGTTGTTGCTTTGCTAAGGCATTTACAGAAATTCCAACATGTTTAGTCACAAAGTCACCCAGCTAGTGTGCATGGAACCCTTTGGAGCACCAGTCTGTCTCTATTGCCAAACGAGGACGTCTGCTGCTTGTCCATAACCAGGCACTAAAAACCCCGTTTTTGTTCTCTAGGGGTTTGTTTTGTTTGGCATATTAAATTTTTTAAATTACTTTTGTGGGGGGTGGGGGGGGGCATGTGCCACAGTTTGTGTGGCAAGGTTAGAGGCCAGATTTGGCAGTTGAGATCCCTAGGACTATTTGAGTTCTGGGGGGTAGAACTGAGGTCAGGCTTGACAGCAAACACCTCACCCACAGTGCCAGGCCCCTGGCCTTGGTGCTGATTGTTGCAAAGCTAGGAGGTAGGGGGTGGGGGTGGGGTCAAACACATTAGACCACTGACAGTGCCTCCATCTGTTGAATCAGACCTGCAGATCCATTTGTTCATTTCATCCTTAGCACTCAGGGAGACCAAGTGAATGACCTCCCCCCCACACACACACGAAGTCATGCAGCTAGGAAGTGGCGGGGTTGCAGGAGAGTCACACGGGTGTGACATGGGATCCCTTTTTCTCCCACCCACCTTTAGAATTGCCTGAAGCTCTGCCACCCTGGGGACCATGTTTAACGGGGAGCCTGGTCCAGCCTCAGCTGGGGCCTCCAGGAACGTGGTACGGAGTTCCAGCATCAGCGGTGAGATCTGTGGATCCCAGCAAGCTGGGGGTGGGGCCGGGACCACCACGGCCAAGAAACGGCGAAGCAGCCTGGGTGCCAAGATGGTGGCTATCGTCGGCTTGACCCAGTGGAGCAAAAGCACCCTGCAGCTTCCCCAGCCTGGTGAGGGGTGTGGGCACCAAGAGATGGGGAAGGTGGGGGGAGGGGAGGGGGAAGAGGGGAGTGTGCTGCTGTTAATTCCCTAGAAGCTAAGGATAGATGTGCACTTTGTGGGTGACATTCTATAGTCCTCACTGGCAGGCAGTAACATCCCAGAGAGGGAAGGTCAGGTGCTGCAGACTGCACAGTAGGATGGGGGAGTGCAGACTCAAGCCCCAGTGTCTCTCCCAGTTCCTGCTCTTTACTGCTGCGGCTTCCACATACTGACTCATGCGGTATTAGAAGTTATTTGGAACAGCCATGCTAAGAGACCCCCACACTTCTATAGACATGCATTCTCACGATCCTGTCCCATTGCCATTTCTCAGTCCCCTAAGGACAAATGGCCCCACAAATATAGTTGCACAGTCACACACAGGTGTTGCAAAGTCACAAGAGAGAGACACAAATGCATGGCTCCTGCAGTGACATGCCCAGAGTGCTCATTTGTGCAGGCAAGTCACTTCTACTGCCAGGAAAACATGGTCCAGTTATTCTCATTACACTGTCCATGGTCACAAATAACTCTAAATTCGGTTCCCTGAACACAGACAAAAAGACCCACATCACTTAGATGCACGTGACTCATAAAGCCATACATATGCCTTAGCTGATACATCCTCATATATAGGGTATGTGTTTTCAGGCATGTGGCTACAGAATTCCAGTTATGTTCAGACTTGGAGGGACCCACCTCGTCTCACACAGCCACATGTGGCCCCCACACCACAGAGGAGCTAGTCCTCCCCACCCAGACCTCCATTTGTGGCATTGGTCCAGACACCAGCTGGCTTTGTTTTAAATCTCTTCCTGCTTATTTTGCTCGGAGTAACAACTTCCCCCAAAAACCTTCAAGTAGGCAGCTGGACGGGGGTGGGGAAGGGTAGAATGCCGGAGCATCCAGGGAGAATGCTCATCAAGACGCCCCATTGGGGCTGGTATTTGGGGGTGCTTTTCCAGACCTTAAAATAGATTTTTACAAAGCTGTCTACAGGAACACAGGGGATGGTCTTTTCAAGCGCTCTGGCTCCCATGTACTTTCTGCTCTGGGAGAGACTAGATGGGGAGGGCCTTGAAGTTACTAGTACCTTTGGGTGGGCAGTGTAGTCTTGAAAGTAGGGAGCAGGGAGGTAGATTGGGAGTTGGGTTGGAGCAAGGAGGGCTAGGATAAAACCAACCTGGGGGATTAAGATTAGAAGATCCTGCAGCTATTGGAATCTAGCTCCAGACCCAAAGATATCTTGTATGCAAAGTGATTGGGAGAGACAGTCTCCAAGGCCAAGGCAGGACATAAGTCACTGGGAGTCATTGCAGGGATCTACCATAGCTTCAGACAGCAGCAGTCTGGGATGGGAGCAGATGCCAGGAAGACCTGTTGCCTTGGGGAGAGATGAGTGATGCTGGGGCCTCTGGATGCCTTGTCTTCATGGTATGTAAGGGCATGAAGAAAGTCCCAGGGTCTGGGGCTAGGGGAATTGCCCAGATGCCTTTCCAAGTGCAGGTCCCTGTGAATCATCTAATCACTGAATGGCATAGCAGGAAGGGCCCTCGAGGTCATCCAGTCTGATGTACTCATTTATCTATGAGACTTCCAGAGCCTTGAGGAGAAGACACTTCCCTGGGGAATGACCTCAGGCTGGCCTTTGCAGCCATACTCCATCATTTACTAGCTGGATAGTTCAGGCAAGCTGCCTCACCTCTTTGAGCCTGCTGTTTGTTGAAGACAAAATATATGCTTTATAAAGCTATCCAGGATTAAATAAGATAGATGAGCAAAGGTACCCAGCCTCTCATGAATGGCATATGAGAGATACTTAGCAAAGTGTTGTTTTTTTTAAGATTTATTTTATTACTTTTAATTGTGTGCATGTGTTATGCATTATGTGTGTGTGTGTGTGAAAGAGAGCTCGAGCGTTCATGCCTGTGTGCATGCATGCATGTATACATGCAAGCTTTGAGTATGCCAGTGCCTCAGCTTGGAGCATCATCTTGGCTGGGAGACTCTGGGACTACAGGCAAGTATGTAATCATCTCACAAGGGATTGCTGCTCTGAGAAAAGATCTCAGAAGGGCACCCCTGTTGCCCCGAATGGAATGGCTTGATTCCCGATAGGGCTGGGCTATGGGGAATCAGGAAGAATTCTCTCCTAGGCCTAGCTTCTTGCAAGAACCCCACCCTCCTAGTCCATCGATACCTGATCTTCTTTGTTCTTTGCCCCAGTTCATATAGTGTAATGTCTAGTCTGTAATGTCAGCTTCCTGTTAGTCCCCTGCCTGTCTGTCCTCTTCCAGTTTGTCATTATGCTGCCCTATTGCAGACCTACAAAATCTCACAATATGATTTAGAGGGCTAGTTCTGGCTTCGTAGCTCTCTGTGAAAGTGTGGTCACTTTTCGGTCAGAAAGTTTTCTCTTCTGTAAATTGAAGCTAAAGATGCTCTCTCCTGACTTCCTTTAAGAACTATCAGGTCTCTAAATTGTGGGAGCAATGAAGGGTGAGGTCAGAGTTTTGGGATCCTAGAACCTAAATAAAATCTAGCCTGGCCTTAATTAGGCTGAGCCCTTATCGGGTCATGCTGGGTGGAAGCAACCTCCTTCTAAATGTCCAGTACCAAGGACAGAGCCCTTCTCTCCTGAGCCAAAGAAGTGTTGCTGGGGGCCATGACTGCCCCTCTTTTGAATGTGATGGAACAGATAGAATGGGTGCTGGAACTTTTCTCCAAGGAACACTGAATTATTGCAACCACTTGGATCAGTTCTCTATCGAGATACACCATAAAGTTATTCCCTGGGTCAGCAGGGGCCGAAGATGGACAGAAATGAAGCCAGTGGGAGGATTTCGCTCTTGAGTTTGCACTGAAGACAGGAGTATAATCTCTGCTGAGTCACACCTCCGAGAGAGGAAGCAGCAGGGAGGGAAATGGCATGTGGCTAGGGAGTCTGAGGGCCTGGTGGCTCGACACCCCCCCACCCCCTACCCCCACCCCGCTCTCTTTATCCCAGACTCTTCATGGGGCAGTGGAGGAGGGGCCTGGAGAAGCATCTCTGACCTTTCAGGACTCTGAGTTTCCCACTCATGGGCGCTCACACTGAGTTGGGCAGGTCTTATCTAAGAAGGTAATTTAACTTCCAAATGGGCCAGAGCTTTCCTAGGCTCTAAGAGAGCGTGTGTTGAGGGGGTGAGAATGTGAGAGGGAGGCAGGGTGGCTTTCAGTGTCTCCCCCCCCCCACGGCCATCTGTCTTCTAACTGGGTTAGAGGGGATGAGGCAGTTAGGAGGCAGGGACAGAGAAAGTCCTATGATAGGTCACATGCCACGTGTGGGAGAACATCATTATGTGTGGTGAATAGACGGGCTCAATTCTAGGTAATAAGATGGCATATATATAACCTGTTTGACAATGTACAGTGTATCTATGTAATACACAGAGGGCCTGTGTGACTTTATATAAACAGTAAACAGACACATGATATACGAGGTTATTGTATTCATATATATGATAGTCAGGAGGAATAAGCCTGAGCTAAAATGACTGTGTGTGTGTGTGTGTGTGTGTGTGTGTGAGAGAGAGAGAGAGAGAGAGAGAGAGAGAGAGAGAGACGACAGACAGACAGACAGACAGACAGACAGACAGACAATGATCCCTGGGTATGCTAGCTCTTCTGATAGCTTGCACTGACTTTAGAGAACACACCCTTCTGCACATTGGCCCCTGTTCTCATCACCTCCCCTCTACCACCCTATGGTAGCATTTGTCCTCCTGACCGTCTCTCATTAGTGGGGACTTCCTGAAAGGCAAGTGGGGTAAAATAGGAGGAATAGGGGCCTTCCTTTCCCAAGCTGTGGACTTGAGCATCCTCTCCCCTGCCAGTTGTTGGCTGCCTTTGGGGATAATGTGCTGTTACCCTGCCCTAGGCACCCTTGCAGGCCACTCAACTAACAATAGTCTTGGGCTTATAACTGGTGGCAGCAAATGGCTCCTTTGGTACAGTCTCTGAGTGCCGCATCCCTCCCCATCAAGTTGCTCAGCAATCAAGCTTTAACAGGGGAGTCCCTGCAAAACCCCAGCTTGTCCCCCCTGCCCCCACCCCTGCCCAGGAGGAGAGCTGTCTGGAGGGACCACACTGCAATGCTAAGGAGGTTGCCATGGAAACCCAGGCAGGCTGGTGTGCTACTCAGGGAAAGTACCCTGTGTTTCCTGCCAGGCTGAGGAGGGGGCTGGAGGCCCCTGAATAGAAGGTGCAGAGGCAGGATAAGGGGGCTTCACTGAGGGCTTTCTCAAATCCAGCATCAGTTCAGGTCAAGCTAGCCATCCTACCCCTCCTGTAGTTTTGCTTTCCAACTTGCCTTTCATGCTCTCCTCTTTAGACTTCCCTTGAGAAGGCAAATTTCAAATGGTCAGGCTTCCAGTGGGGGTTTTTCTAGGGCAGCAGAGAGGTGGGTTTGGGGTCAGGTAGAATATGCAAAAGAGGGAAAGTAAATCTGGAAATCCTAGAACAAACTTTCCAAAAGTGAGAGGAAGGAGCAACTCTTAAGTTTTGGAGCTCAGGCTGAAACAGAAGGTGAAGGCAGAGTCAAGAGAACCCAGTGGAGTGGGGAGGGGGTCCCCTGGCTGCAGGACTCTACCTTCACCTGCATTTCTGTGTGGGCGTGCAGCTCGTCCCTGGATAGCTTTCTCTATCTTCACCCTGGGCTGGGCCAGTTTAGGGTTAGCTCAGTGGTGTCCCAGCCTTGGCAGATCCCCACCTGCTTCCGTCTAGGAGATCAATTTGGCAGTAACCTTCTAGAAGCCTAGACCATGTTTTGACCTTGTTTCCTCTCTCTTATTGGGTTGGGGACCCCAGAAGGGGCCACTAAGAAGCTGCGCAGCAACATCCGACGGAGCACAGAGACTGGCATTGCGGTGGAGATGCGGAGCCGTGTCACACGCCAGGGCAGCCGGGAGTCTACCGATGGAAGCACCAACAGCAACAGCTCCGAGGGCACGTGCGTGCACCTGACAATTTGATTTCCAGCCAAGATATTTGCATACCTCCCTGCCCCAGCCTCCCTCTCCCCTGTCCTAGGTATCTGGTCCCTGGGCCCCAGGTCTCCCAATGGCTCCCAACAGAACACCTCAGAGAACTTGGAGCCCATCATTCATTCTTTTACTTCGGGAAGGATCTTGGGCTTCCTGCCTCCCATCACCCTGCTCCAGGGGAGACGAGCAGAAAGGAAAACGTGACCTTAAACTCCTTTTAAGCCTAAACTCATTTCCATGGCTTAGTTATGTGAAATCATTATAAATCACCTTGCTTGGAGATTAAGGAAGAAAATTGGACCAGATCCATGTTTTTTAGAACTGTCACATCTTACCTTGTGACTCATAGGCAGGAAGTAAAATCGCTGTAGTGGGTCAAAAGCAGCATTAGAGAAAGAAATAGAAAACGCAGATGTAGCTTGTGTAGAAGGGGTGAACTGCCTGGAGGCCTTAAGTTGAGTTCTCCATCCAGGACACACATAGGTCAAGAGTGAGCTGTGGTATTGGCAGGCCCTTTTCTTTTTTGCATGTGAGTTGGAGTAAGCATTTTAAAGCCACTGCTTAGACTCTACAGATCTGTTCTAAATCAGAGTTTGTAGATTTTCTGCCTCTGTTTCATCAAGGCCCTATAATTTTTACTCTCAGGATCCTGTGGCTTATTTAATATTACAGTGAGTGAGCCCTTGGCATCCCTGTGGGGTTGGTTCCAAGACCTCCCATGGATCTAAAACCCTGAGCTTCTTGAATCCCTTGAATACACTGGATAGTGTTTGTATACTACCTGTACACATCCTCCTGTGTCCATCAGATCCTCTCTGGATCACTTGTACCACCCAGTTTAAGCTAAATGCAATAGAGATACTTGTTATACGGGCCTTAGTATAAAGCTCAGGCTGGCCTTGAATTCAGCATCCTCCTGCCTCAGCCTCCTGAGCACTGGTATTATAGGTGCACATCCAATTCCCAGCATAGACTGTACTGTTTAAAGAGTAATGATAAGAAAAGAATCTGTTTGTACTCAGTACAACTTTTTTTCTTCATATGTTCAATCTGTGGTTGATTGAATCCACAGATGCAAAACCTGTAGATACAGATGGCCGACTGTACCTTCTAACATGGAAACAAGTAGAGGTTGTCATTTACTACCTCCTACCTTGTCCAGAGCATTGATGGGGACCTCAGGCTAGTGACTCTCTTTCTGGAAGCCACGTGCTATGATTATGTGACACCTGTGCCCACCCTGAGTGAATGGAAAACACCAATATCTCCATGTACAAATAAGGAACTGAGGCTCCTGAATGACAGAGGCTCTTTACCCACAGGCACAGTTCTGAAGACACAGTCACTGTTTACGCCAAGATCACTTGATTCCATAACCTTTATTCATAGTCACCACCCCCACACCAGTTCTGAGACTCTGAGTCTACATCTCTTTATTTCTTCTGAGGTCTCATTGCCATAAGAATGTGACACTAGGACTGGGTGTGGTGGTGCACACCTATAAATCCAGCACTTGAGAGGTGGAGGACGGACCAGGAACTTAGCTGCATAGTGAGTTCCAAACCGGCCTGCACTACAAGAGACATTATGTCAATAAAGAGGGGTGGATGGAGAGAGGAGGAGGAAAGCCAAAAAACACGAGGGCTGGGGAGATGGCTCAGTCAGTAAAGTGCTTGCTGTACCAACATGAGAACCTGAATGGGGTTCTCCAACCTCCGTGTGAAAAGGCTGGATGCAATTATGTACATGCCTATAATCCTATCGTTGAGGAGAGCTAGCAGCCCGGCTCTTCAAATCCACAAACTCTAGGTGCAATTAAGGTAGAAAGTGATTGACCTCTGACTCTGAACACACACACACACACACACACACACACACACACAGAGAGAGAGAGAGAGAGAGAGAGAGAGAGAGGTGAGGGAGAGAGAACAATGATTAATAAACGTAGATGCCTTGAAGCCTCTTCCTGAGGGTAGAAGATGAGCCTTGTAAGGGAAATGCTGGTTCTGCCCCACAAACATATTGCTCCCTGCCTGTCACTGATCAATAGAGTCCCTACTCCAAACTGTCCAACGTGATCCTTCTCAGACCCTCCTTTCATAGGAAGGACTAAGAGGTCTGCATATTCTGGGTCATTGGCTCCTGAGCAAGCTGTCCCTGTTGACCCTACCCAGAACATCTGGGCCTGAAGACACAATGGCAGCAGCATAGGCAGAAGCAAAATTCACTGCCATTTCCTGTATCTCATGTGTCTAGAACTTTGCCCCACCCCGTCCCCCAGTGAGCCAGGTGTCATCCCTGTTGCAGACAAGGCCAGCCTCTTACCTCTTGGAAATGTCTGTTTCATCTGTAAAATTGGACAGTGGCTCCTACCACACAGCCTGGTTGTAAGATTAATGACAGAAGGCACATGGAGCGTTCAACACATTGCTGGCAGCTGGCCTACTTTCAATCACTGTCAGTTCTTCTTGTTACGTTTCCAGCCCCCTCCCCTCCAGTCACGGACCACCCACAATCACCTGCCATTCATCTCAACCCCATCGGTGGGTTATTTTAGTCTTTGCTGCCATTTTGAGAACCATCTCACCTTACTGACTTGGATTTTAAATTTCTGGTTTAAAAAAAAAATCAAACCTCAGTCCTGGGAACTCATCCCAGTCAGTAAGAGTCCATCTAGCTTGTCTCTCTTTCTTGGCATTGGCATGCTGTCATGAGAATGTCTGTGTCCAGTGAGCCCTGCCCTCCAACGCTCACTTCAGACAGCTCTGGAGCTTGGGTGGGACGCAGCTTAGTTGGTAACATGTTCATTCAGCATGCATGAAGCTTTGGTGGTGGTCCCTCCCTAGCACTGCATAAACAGGGCATGCTGGTACATGCCTGTAATCCCAGAAGGCAGAGGCATGATGATCAGGAATTCAAGGTCAGCCGGGCTACATCATGAGTCTGAGGCCAGCTTGGAATGCACAAGACCTTGTCTCAGAAAACAAAAATAAGGATTCAATGCCTTATATATCTTCATTAGTCTCTTTAATGATATCAAAGTATCTTTCTCCAAGCTTGGGAGGGACACTAAGGCAGGAGGATTGTCATGAATCTGAGGCCAGCCTGGGCTACATAGTGAATTTTAGGTCAGCCGGAAGTACACAATGGGACTGACTGTCTGAAACACAAAGCCTGGTGTATTTTTTCCTCAATGGGCAGAAATGAACAATTGTCCACTCCCAGGTAGAGTAATATAGTCACACTGTGTAGGTGAGAAACAGAGGTACAGCTCCCCGGGTGCAGGACCTCTGCATCCAACCCCACGACTAGCCCACCGGCTACCCTCACATGCCCTCTGCTTCCCTTTGCAGCTTTATTTTTCCCACTCGGCTTGGAGCTGAAAGCCAGTTCAGTGATTTTCTGGATGGCCTGGGACCAGCACAGATTGTAGGGCGACAAACATTGGCAACACCCCCCATGGGTAAGTCTTGCGGAAGGATAAGCAGGACGGACACACACACACACACACACACACACACACACAGCAGAAGGAGCTCAGTGGGATCCTGTGCCTGGTAGGAGTCCCAGCCTCCCTGTCCTCACTGCCCAGCAGCAGCTTTTCCACAGTGCCCTGCTCCCTGCAGTCACCCTCCCCTGCTGTGTAAACTGAGTCACCGCGTTGGCTCCAGTTGCTTTAGCTTCTCTGGACTTGGACAAGGCACTTGTGTTCTTTAAGCCTTGGTTTCCTCGTCGGGAAAATAATACCAATAAGCCCTGCTTTAGTTCTCCAATCTCACAGGCCTTTCCGAGCACCTGTCACTGTCAGTAAAGCATTTTAGTGCTCTCCTCAGGAGCTGTGGCTAATTGGACTTGTTACCCCCAACAGCATCGGGCACTGAGGGACCCTTAGCCATTTTCTCATCTCTCTTCCTGGCAGCTGGGAAGCTCTTCTCAAAGCCCGCATAGGGTCCTCTTAGCAGCTCTTCAGCCTTCCCCTCCCCATGTCCAGGCGGGCGTCCCCATCAGTCTGACCTGGGCTTTGCCTGAACCAGATGTCTCTACTCAGCCCCATCCTGGTGGTTCTTGACCTTTGACCCCCACAGCAGAGGAGGGAAGTGAGTGTGCACAGTCAAGCTGGGATTCTGCACCAGTTTAGGACTCTGTACACAGCACGGTCCTTCCTTCCTTCCTTCCTTGCAAGAGGAGTCCACAAGACCCTCAGAATACACTCTTCTGGCACTGGGTATTAGATTTATTAATTCTAAGATTTTGATTGGTACTGGAGACTGTTCAATATCTCAACCCCATCTTCCTAGACACACCGAGAAGTGCCAGCCACTTCTATAATCTTTAATGACCTATCAGAACCTAGAACATTTTGTGTGTGGTGCCCCCTTGTGTCCAAAACCAGGAAAGACAAGTGTACGTTCATGGGTAGGCTGGTTGAGACCCTTTATTCTTCTTGCCAAGTTCAGAAATCCCTGGATGGAGAAGGATGAAGGGTGTCTCTGAATGTGCTCAGCCCCTACCCCCAAAGTATGCAAATACCAACAATAACATGACGGCTATGATGTTTGACTGAACTCAGTCTCACCCATTTGAAGAGTGTTCCAAACAACTACTGCGTAATTCTAAACTTAGCTCACCCACGATGAGCAAAGCTAAAAGTTCCCAGAAATCAGCATGACAGAAACCCTTACCATTTTGGAGTGAGTTATGAGCTCTCAGTTTTCAGCACACAGGGGGCCTGCCCTGCTCCCTTTGTCCAGGGTCAAAGATGTCGTGGGCAGGCTCATTGCTTAGCATCTCTTTGCATGGATACTCTCTTGGTATCTGTTTTGACATATACTAAAGAGACTGGCTGAGGGCTGCTGTATAGGCTCTGCCCCCTAGGCTTGCCTGTTCTATGTAGTGAAGCAGAAGCCCCGAGTCCACCAGACAGGTGAGAGTTTGGCAGCCATTAGTTATGGCCTAAGCATGTGCCGCTTGAGGGTCATGCCTCATTGTTCCTCGGTCCCTTTGAAGTGGTCTCCTGAGATCAGTTTCAGCGTGTGCGACTTGCTCTGTCATCCTCCCTTTGCAGGCATCAAGCATCCCCTGCAGCCTGTCCCATCTGATTTCACCCGGCCTTCCATTCCTTTCCCTTGCAGGAGACGTGCACATTGGCATCATGGACCGGAGCGGCCAGCTGGAGGTGGAAGTGGTTGAAGCTCGGGGCTTGACCCCCAAACCGGGCTCCAAATCCCTCCCAGGTAAGTGAGGCTAAGCAGCTGGGAGATTTGAGGAAGGGTCCTGGCAGGGATGGGTACTAGCAAGCCCTCAGCTCACCAGTGCCTTGAAGTGGTGCTGTTGACAGTGACTCATACCTTGCCTGGAAGGCCGGTGAGCAAGAATGGCCAGCTCATCCCACCTCTCCCCACCCCCCCCCATCCCAGAACAGCCTGGAGGGTGGAGACCGGACAGGCTGTGACATCTCTCCCAACTATGATCCTTCATTTCCAGCCACCTATATCAAGGCTTACCTGCTGGAGAACGGGGCATGTGTAGCCAAGAAAAAAACAAAGGTGGCCAAGAAGACTTGTGATCCCTTGTACCAGCAGGCTCTGCTCTTTGACGAGGGGCCCCAAGGCAAAGTTCTGCAGGTCAGTGTTTACAGGGTAGACGCTCAAGATCAGGTCAAGCATTGAACTAGGAGCACTCATTTACATCGCCTCTGTTTTATCACTGGGGAGGGGTACACATTATTGGGGGGCACACAACATGCATTTACATCGCCTCTACTTTATCACTGTGGGGGTATACTTTGTGTAGAGTGGAGTCCGTTCTCTGTCACCTTGACATGGCTTCCAGGGATTGAATTGAGGTCCTTCGGCTTCTGTGGAAAGCATGTCACCTGCTGAGCCATCTTGCCAGCCCCTTTTTTCTTTCTCTCCCCCTTCCTTCACTCCCTCTTCTTCTTCCCCTCTGTATTTTATTTTCACAGCCCATGTTCTTGTTTCCCCATCAATTGATAGGGTTCAGAGCGTAGCGGAATAGCTTCCCAGTTCTCCCAGCTGGGCAGGAGAACCATGCTATTGTCTGGCTACCTGTGCTGTATGTGCCTCACTGGGTGCCGGGTGTTGTTAGGCACTTTCTAGAATGCTTTGTGGCTTTCTCTGGGCTAATCCTGGGAAGGAGGTGTGGTTTCCCCATTTTGCAGGGGTCTCAGAGGAGGCAGGGTCTCAGAAAGATGAAGGGGACTGCGCAGTTAAGTGATGAGCAGAACTGAGCCCAAGTCTGGGTGACTCTCAGGACAGCCAGCTCCTTGACAATGAAACACTGCATTGGTGGCCCTTCCTGAGTGTGGGGGAGGGGTGTTGCCTCGTTGTGTCCCTTCAGTAGATGAACCTGAGTTCATGGGGGCCTACATGATTTTCTTCATGTAGTTCTAATTCCTTCTTGACACTCATTGTAGTTAGAGTGCTCAGAGAAGAAATGGTCTGTCATAGAAGACAGCTCTGTCAGCTCCAGGAGGTCCCAGGCCTCTGGGCATCTTCACTCATGTTTATGTATGCACATACACATTTAAAAAGAAAGAAAGAAAGAAAAAGATTTACTTTGTATGCAGTGTTCTCTCTGCAGGAGAGGGCACCAGCTCTCATTACAGATGGTTGTGAGCCACCAAAAGGTTGCTGGGAATTGAACTTGGGACCTCTAGAAGAGCAGCCAGTGCATCTCTCCAGCCCTGCACATACATTTTTTTTTAACGTTAAAGAGTTTGCACATAGGCAGCCACTCAATAAGTTATAAGTGGTGGTGGCTTGCCTTTTGTTTGTAGTAAACACTTGAGATTCATTTGAAAGGAGAGAAAGAGTATTCTGGCTGAATTTTGGAGACTCAAGTCCACTGCCAGTTGGGGCTGTGGAGACAGCTGCTCACCTCAGGGCACTTGGGAAGCTGAGGAAGAGTCTGGAATCCCATAATCACCTTCAGGAATCCACCTCTGATGTTTTTAATCCTCCAGCTAGTCCAACTCATAGCAAGCTGTTCCTCCCAGCTGTGGTGGTTCTGTTGTAAGGGCCCATGGGGTTACAAGCCAAAGCATGGCAGAACTGTAGGATTCTGGGGCAGAGGCCCAATATCAGATGTCTGTTTTGAAAAATGTTTGAAAAACCATTGAGCCTCAGCTCTTCCTCCTTGAGTTCAGGGCAAGGGGCTTATTCGGGTCCACAACAGCCAACAGCAGGGCTGCAGCATCAACCCTGGACTCCACTTCTTTGTGGAGAAGCTGCTGCCTTGGGTGCTGGGAGGCCTTGAAGCAGATCCACTCGGGATCTAATCCCAGGTCACTGTGGGGCCTTGTTCTGGTTAATTAAATCTCTGAACCACGGGGAAAAATACTTGTTACAACAGTTGAGATGATGCATGGCCCAGGTGCTCAGAAAGTGCAGGCTTATATCGTTTTAATTCTGACTCTGGCATCTGTGCCCTGGGGAAGCTGGTAGGTTCCTGGGCTCACTGCCCAGTCCTGGGATTGGTGCTTCATTCTTCCTCTCCCTGCCGCCAGGTGATCGTCTGGGGAGACTATGGCCGAATGGACCACAAATGCTTCATGGGTATGGCCCAGATCATGTTGGATGAGCTGGACCTGAACGCCGCTGTCACCGGCTGGTACAAACTCTTCCCTACATCCTCTGTGGCTGACTCCACACTCGGATCCCTGACCAGGCGCCTGTCCCAGTCCTCTTTGGAGAGTGCCACCAGCCCCTCCCCCTCGTGCTCCTAAGGACCTCCTCACTGAGGACAAAAGGCCAGGGGCTGATGGGTGAAGGGAGCCTGCTGGCCACACCACCCCCTGTACATAGTCTCCATGTCTTTCTGGACCCCTCAACGTGCTGCATGCCTGTTGGCCACTGGGCTCAGCCCAGCTGGCAGTGGAGACTGTAGTGTGTCTGTGTGTCTGTGTGTATGTGTGACCACATTATATCTGTCCATTTGTCTGGGTGCAGTCAGTCCTAGTGACCACATGGAATGCAGTCCATGTCTCTGTATCTTGCTGGAACGAATCCAAAGGAGCATCATGTGGGCACGTCTTGCCCCTGGAGTCTCCAGCAGGGGGAGTAAGGGTGTGGCCACTGGTGGGCCTGTAGTCTTATGGTCTCCACTTGGTTTTCTGTCCTGTCTTTTGTTTCTTTGCCTTTCCCAGCCTTGCTGCTCTTTTTTGAGGAATGTAGCATCCATTGCAGCTGACCATACCTGATTCCCTCTAGGAATCCAATCTCTTCTCTCCCTACCCCAGGCCACACCAGTGGCCATCCCATTGAATGCACTCCACAGCATGTGGCATGCTCACTCAATGCCCTGGCTGGCCCCCCAGGAAGACAGAGGATGTCTGGGGAGGGAGGGGCCTTGAGAATGTTTCTCCCTGGGGTTGGCACCTAGAGGACAAGCTAGGGCCTCTCCTCCCCGGGAGTGTGCTCCAACATGCCAGAGGAGCTCCATTGGGCCCAGGGGGGTTTCCGGTCAAAGCAGATGGCCTTCTCGGGCACCAAGGATGGACCTGTCCCCTTTCAGGCTTATCCCTGAGGGAGCATGGCTTGCTTGGTAAGAGGTGTTATGGGTAGGGCTGCTTACTAGAGTAAGGAGGGCTAAGACTGAATTGTTTAGAGCTACCGTCAAGAATCCTGTCTGACCTGGGACTTAGCCGCAGGAAGCTGTTCTTCAGGCTTCTGCTTTCTTTGCTCATCTGTAGACCCCAGTCCCCAGCTGGAGTTCTGACACCAGGACTCCAGCCTCCTAGCTCCATGAGCAGCCTGGCTCTGCATTCGGGTACCTCTGTCACCAGCTCTGACCAGCAATACTCACCCCTCCACCTCCCTGCCTTTCTCTGGGCAGTGGCCTGCACTAGGCATTTGCTGCCTCTGCTTTACTACCCCTCCCCCTGTCTGGTTGGGATTCCTCCCAACCACAGAAAACCCTGTTGGAGGGACTAGTGCCTGGGCTCGATTGAGCCTGAGATGGCTGTTAATACTAAAGGCTAGTTCCGGAATGCTGTATCTGTTCCTCCCCTCTTTAGCTATAGGGTGGAATTGGAGGCTGCCTGGGAGATGGCAAAGCATCCTGGTCCATGTCCAAGAGGAAGGAGGAGGTGGTGGGGGTAGGAGAGAAGGCGGCTCTCTTTCTGCCTCTCTTCCAGCCCATCTCCAAGTGTGGCTATGCCTCTGGCCCAAGTACCTGGGTAACTGTGAAAGTCCTTGGCCTGAGTGTGAATTCTGTTTGTACCAAAGCTGGGGTGCATAAAGTTAGCCCAGCCCAAAAGGCCTCTCTGTAGTGAGAATCCTGCACCCTCCATTCAAAGAAAGGTAGTGAAGCCCCCACACAAACGGGAGGGGGGAGGGGAGGGGAGTGAGGTAGTGGCTAGTGAAGTTGTCTTGCTGGGAAGTGTATGTATTTCCTGTATCACTAGACACCGGGCAGAGTGTGCCAGCCTCTGACCCTTAATGGGTTGGGGGCAAGGGGGAAACTGGCTTGCAAAAAGCTGTTTTCATCTTGCTTGTGGTGTGTGTGCCTAAAAAGCTGTCATCCTCTGGATGGTGTGAAAGCCATCTGGAGCGGAGGAGGGTCAGTGACCACTGACAGCATCGACCTTTGCTGATGTAGCACTGAGTCCCCTCCAGCAGTGGGAGATGCCAGCAGAGGACCAGCTTAGCAGTGATGTGCTCGGAACTCATGCTGTAAACGGCCTAGGAGATGGGCACTTCGCTGTCCCGCCCCGCTCGCGGAAGGTAACCCCTCCCCTAATTGATTTTGGGGAATTCCTCTTTTTAATAAATAATCCCACCTAGATCCTTGCTCACACATGTGGGCTGTGTAAGGCTAGTGTGTACTTGTGATAGAGAGGCTGGATTTAAAGCTCTTTCTCGGCACCCTGGATGCAGGGCTCCACTGGGATGCCGTTCTAGAGATAGCCCTGTTCCAGAAGAGGAGTGTGACTCTTGCCTGGGCTGGGAGCGATCTGCCCTTTGAGGAAAGGACAGTGGGTCAAGAAGTAACTGGGTCCTTGTGAGTTCCCTTACCAACAGACCATCTCACATATAACCCCTTGGCCACATGGCAGTCATCCTGTCTCCTCCAGGGATTCATCGGCGCTGTGGGCAGTGATGAATGACTCAGAGCATGTGTCTCTGTATTTCTGCCCTGCCCAGCCTGTCCCACTTTTTCACAGATTCCTTCCCTACAAGGAAGTCAGAGATGGGACTCTGTGCTAGGAAACATCCTCCAGGAAATGGGCCAGGTCTTGGTTTGTCAAGGGGACATTTGGGGAAGACCCAGTTCCAAAGGCTCTCTCATCCAGTCTCCTCCCACCCAGCTCTACTGAGGAGCACCTATTCAGCGGGTCCTGGCAATGCCAGCATGCCACAGGGTAGAGGCAGAACCAAGGAAAGCTCTAGAGAGAGAGGCAGGGTTGGTGCTTGGGTGGTCCTGCACTGGGGTCAAGCTGACTCTCCCAGGGGCTTGACCCCCACACCACCACCAGGAAGCACACCAGCTCTTCCTTTACTGCCAGCCTGGGGGAGACCAGCAGCCTCCATTTTTTTTTTTTTCTTTTTAAAGACAATTGAGCCCTCCCAGGGCATTTCTTTGGAAATGAAATGTAGCACAATCCTCGACTGTGTTCCCAGGAGCCCTGTCATACCCAGGGGCCTCACATCACAGGTTCTGCTTCCCCCGGGGACCCAGAGCTCCTGATACCTCATGTTCTCCGTCACCCTTGGCCTAGGAAGCAGTGGCACCCCAGCAAGGCTGCTCTTCTGCATTTCTCCGATTGTGTCCAGCACTGTGCAAACTCTTTAAGAAGCCGCTGCCTTTGACGGAGGCTGCTGTCCTCCGCCTGGGGAGGTGTGGTACTTCCTGTGGGGCCTAAAGTTTGTCCAGCAGCATTTCTGTAGTGGCCACAGGGAAGTGGACAAGAAGAGGCCTGCTTCCCTAACACCTCCTTCTCTCCTGCTCCCCAGTTGTCTCCACATAAAGACATTCTCTTGCATATGCCCCCTCTCCTGCATCATCTTCCGCTGGATGATCAGAGAGGAGCTGGAAACAGACTCCTTCCCTGCCTTCTCCTTCCAGTCTGCTTCTAGCCCAGGTCCAAAGAGGCTGGGGAGATCAGCCACCACCAGAGAGCAGGGGGACCCTGTCCAATCTGGTGGGGGCTTGATGGTGGCAGGATCAGCCTGGCCTGGCTGGGAAAGGGTCATTTTGAGAGTGCCTGAGCACCTCAGAGCAATGTCAGTGATGCCAAAGAGAGCGACTTGGCCTCCTTGGGTACCAGCTCTGTCGGTGGAGCTGGACAAACACAGATCAGAAGTTGGCATGCCCAAGGGAAGGTCCTTGTTCTCTGACAAAGGGCTTAATCTTTCCATGTAGCAAAGCAACTCCCCTCCCCCAACCCTGAGTGTGGGCTTCTGTAGGCCCAGCATGGCTATGCCTGTACGAAAAGCCAAACTGTATGAGTGAGAGGCCTGTTTTCTCCCTGGGGCCTAGTCTGTCTCAGCAGGTGCGCCTTGAAAAGAGTGAGTGTTGCTTTGGAGAAACTGGCTCTGGCTGGACACTCGCCTTGGGCCTGCCAGAAAGTCCACACTGATGCCAGGAAGGGTCCCTGGACCTGAGAATCCCAGGGACAACTGAGCATCTGCCCCATTAGCCAATGACCTGGACAGGGATGGCTGTTCTGTATCCCCCACCCCGCCTCTTTTTGCCAGAAACTGTGACCTTGTGCGAGACTCCTCACCGGGCTTTGGTGTCCTCATCTGTAAAATCAGAGCATTAGCTAGTTGCTCCATGGCTCCCTCCAGGCTTCAGAAGTCTATGGCTTGGGTGGTAAGGGCCAGCCAGGTTCATCTCCCTCTGCTCTCATGCTGGGAGCAGGTCCTCATTTGGTCCATGCTCAGATACTGCTCCTGGCAAGAGAGCCCCAGAGCCCAGAAACATGGCTTCATCTCTTTGTAACCCCACGCGCTCTCTGGTCTTGGTGAGAAAAGACTGATTCCAAGGTGCCGTGCAATGTCACCATCTCGGCTGTATCCTGAGTAAGACCATTCCTCATTCTGCTTCTAGATGACAGCCCAGGAAGAGTGGACACTCAGAGCCTTCTGACCGAATTCTCTTTGATGGGATGAGAGAAGGAACTTCCAAGCATTTGGCTTTTTAAAACCACTTCTTCCCAAATGTCTTCTCCCAAACGTTATCTCAGAAGGCAGAGTGGCTTCTTCCTCAGGAAAAGTAGACCTGAGACTTCTAGCAACTCCTGTAGCATGGAAACTCACAGAAGGCAGGAACCCCTTTTTTAGAATTTCCAAATGCATCCTGCAAAGAAAGAGAGCGAGAGCTGTTAGGGACTGACAAGCACACTGTTTAGATAAGAAGTAATTAGCCTTTTATATCTGAGCTCTCTGCAGTTTCTGTGTGCAGCGTCTTTCCAAACTGTGGCTCCTGGATAGCAGGTGGACAGCTGGGAGGGAATGCCGGCTGTCTCATGTGACATCCTTGCCAATCCCCTTGAGGAGAAAATTCTTCACATGGCTTCTGCATGTACAGTATTTGAGCAGCAAAAAAAAAAAATAATAAAGTTCATTTGAAATTGGTTTCATGTGTGGCTTTCTGATGGTTTTTTTGTTTGTTTATTTTAGTTTAGTTTTTGTTTTGTTTTTTCGAGGCAGGGTTTATCTATGTAATTTTGGAGCCTGTCCTGTAGACCAGACTGGTCTCAACCTCTCAAGAGATCTGCCTCTGCCTCCTGAGCACTGGGATTAAAGGTGTGTGCCACCACCGCCCAGCTTGAGGATGGTCTTTACTTCAGGAGAGAAAATGGTTCTGGGTAATTAAAGGGGATGCTGCCTTGGCCAAGAGGTGGGAGAGAAGTATAGCTCAGGAAAAGGCATGAACTTGGGTCTCTGGCCCCTTCCTTGGAGCTTAGTTGCACAGGGATACTCCTGATCCATGGAATCATACTAACCAGTTGGGACTCTTGCTTACTGCCCCCCCCAAAAAAATTTCTGTCTGTGCAGACTTTACAGGGGACACCCAAATATAGTGGTCAGGAAGGACAGGGCTAAGGCCACACAGCCATAAGGCTGACTCTGCTACGCCTGATAGAAACAATGAACAGTCCAGCTCTAGAGCTGGGGCTTGCCATGGTCACTGACCTCAGCAGCACCCCTTGCCTTCCCTACCTCTAAAAGACGTGAAAATCCTAAACATGAACTGTGAATTCCAACAATTACTAAAACATTGTAGGACATAACTAAGCAGTGTTTAAAGATGTTTCATTATTATTAGAAAGATTCATCTTTGTAATTTCCTACATTAATAGATTAAAGGAGAAAATGTGTTTATCCTAATGCAGAAAAGACATTTTATAAGGGTTTATCCTACTTACAATAATAAAAAAAAAAACTAGCAAGCAGAAGGTCACTTTCTTAATTTGGTAATCACCATGTATAAAAAGCAAAAGCTTGAGAAGTGATGGCTCAATGGTCAAGTACCTAGTGCTCTTCCAGAGGGTTCCAGGGCTCCATTCCCAGCACTCACACCAGGCAACTCACAACTGCCTCTACCTCCAGCTCACGCCCTCTTTTGGCTTCTACCAGCTCTCTCACACACAGTACACATACATATTTTAAAACTATACATTTGCTAGGTGATGTGGCATGTACCTGTAATCCCAGTACTGGCAAGGCAGAAGCAAGTAGATCTCTGAGTTTGACGCCAGTCAGGAAATTCTAGGTCATCCAGGGAAACAGACTCCATTTCAAGAAGGAAATTTTATTTAAAGGGAGTACATGTGTGATTACAGATGTGGTTGGAAGGGTTGTGACCTGCACATGCCAGTCCCTAGGTTTGATCCTCAGCATTAAACAAAGAGCAAAGCTGATAAATAACCATTTACTGTGAAGCAGAAAACATATGTAGAAGTAAAATAGAAGCCGGGAGTTGGTGGCACACGCCTTTAATCCCAGAACTTGGGAGACAGAGGCAGACAGATCTCCGTGAGGTTGAGGCCAGCCTGGTCTACAGAGCTAGTTCCAGGACAGGCTCCAAAGCCACAGCGAAACCCTGCCTTGAAACACAAACAAAAAAGGTATAAACACTATTTAAAAAGAAAACAGTGAAACACTGTATAGTGGGGATAGGGTCCATTACTGTACTGGCTGGTTTTGTTTGTGGTCAACTTGATACAAGCTAGATTCATCAGAGAACCCCAAGCCTCAGCTGAGGAAATGCCTTCATGAGATCCAGCTGTAAGGCGTTTTCTCAATTAGTAACTAGTGGGAAAGGGCCCAGCCCATGGTGAGTGGTGTTATCCCTGGGATGCTGGTCCTGGATTCTAGAAGAGGCTGAACAAGCCATAGAAAGCAAGCCACACACCCCTCCATGGCCTCTGCATCAGCTCCTGCCCTTGGGATCCTGTCCTGTTTGGGCTCCTGTCCTGACTTCCTTCAGTGGTGCACTATGATCTGGAAGTGTTAGGAAATAAACCCTTTCCTCCCCAGCTTGCTTTTTGATCATGGTGTTTCACTGCAGCAGTAGAAACCCTAACTAAGACAATTACTAATACACAATCCAAAAGAAGAGGGAAAAAGAACAAAGAATCGCTGGGTAATTAAGAGAAAACCATGTATCATTTCAGTAGATACATAAAAAGAACTTGGGATTACAGAGGTGGCTCATTTATGAGTGTGACCACCCATGTGCCAAGTCGTGTGTGTGTGTGTGTGTGTGTGTGTGTGTGTGTGTGTGGAGGTATGTGCCTGTAACTCAGGGTTAGGGAAAGGAAACAGGAGAACCCCCGGGACTTTCTGGACTTATTGCATATTTTTCTTATGTTAGTTGTACCCTTTATGTATTAGGCAAAAAGGGGAATTGTGGTGATACCTCTAATAAAGCTTGTCTAGGGATCAGAATGCAAAGCTAGCCACACTAGTTAGTCATAGAAGCTTTAGTGCCCATTTAGTGGACTATTTAGGAAGGGTTAGGTGTGGCTTTGTTGGAGAAGGTGTTACTGGAGGTGCGCTTTGAGTTTTCAAACACCTACACCAGCCACCCCTGTGTGTGTGTGTGTGTGTGTGTGTGTGTGTGTGTGTGTGTGTGTGTCTGGATCTCTGTATCTGTGCCCATCTCTATCTGTGTGTCTGCCTCCCAGTCTCTCTGTCTCCCACTCCCTCTCTCCCCTCCCTCGCTCTCCCTCCCACTCCCCCTCTCTTTCCCTCTGCCTCCCCCTCTCTCCCTCCCTCCCCATCTCTCCCTCCCTTTCTCTCCCCTTCTCTCTACCCCTCCCTCCCCTTCTCTCTCCCCCTCTCTCCCTCCCCCCTCTCCCCTTCTCTCTCTCCCCCCTCCCCCCCTCCCCCTCTCCCCTTCTCTCTCCCCTCCCCCTCTCCCCCTCCCCCCTTCTCTCTCCTTCTCTCTCCCCCTCCCTCCCCTTCTCTCTCTCCCCCTCCCCCTCTCCCCCCTCTCTCCCCTCCCCCCTCTCTCCCCCTCCCCTTCACTTATCTGTCTCTACAACTTGTAGTGGATCAGCTATGATCCTGTCAGCTCTAGTCATGCTTGCTTTGTGGGTTGCTTTGGTCATGGTGTCTCCTCATGGCCATTAACAGCAACAAAGACAAATACTGTGGCAGAACAAGCCTGCCACAGTAGAGGCAGCATGGTATATAATGGTGAAAACAGGATACCTCTCCCAGAGGTCAGGAAAAGAAAAAGATATTTGTCCTTAACTATTTCTAGTCAACACTGTCAGCAGTCCTAGTCAATTAGGACAATAGACAAACAAAAGGTCATAGATTAAAGGAAATAAATGGCCTTATTTACAGGTACAATGACTGTGTAAACAGAAAATTCTACAGAAAACAATAACTCATAGTTATAAATTTGTCAAGGATCCAGGACACAATTTCAACATGCAAACATCAATTTTACTATTACAGCCTATCAAAAAATAAGAAATGTAAAATCATTGTCTTTTTGAGACAGCTTAGGCTGGTCTGGAACTCCTTGTTCTTGTGATGATCCTCTTGCCTCTGCTCCCAAGTGAGACAATGCTATTTATAATAGCACCTATTAAATTTCAGTAAATGTAAAGGGTGGTGAGATGGCTTGCTGTGCAAGCCTGATGACCTGTGTGAGGTCCCCAGACCTGTGTGTCCTTTCCACTGCTGCCAAAAACACCACAACCAGAAACAACTTGGGGAGGAGAGGGGTTGCTTGGCTTAACTTCCCCATCAGTCCATTACAGAAGGAAGTCAGGGCAGGAGCAGAGGATGGAGACAGGGGACTGTGGCTTGCTTACTGGCTTGTTTCCTCTGGCTTCTTCTTAGCTACTTTTCTGCTGGTGGTCTGGCCCCTCCTACAATCGTTAACAATTAAGGACTGCCCCCCAAGACTCTCCCACAGGCTACTCTGATGGAAGCAGTTCCTCAGCTGAGGTTCCCTCCTTCAAGGTGATTGGTGTGTGTCAAGCTAACAAAGGCCAGTCAGCACTCTAGGAAAAGCAGGAGAGAAACAACTCACAACATTGTGCTCCGACCTCCCTGCAAGCACCATGGCACATTGGTGTGCCCACAGATACATACATATGCAATAATCACAAAATGTTTGTAAGAACTATACAAAATGGGGCTAAGAGAAATTAAACATGGACAGAAAGACACAGTGCCATCAAGAAGTCAATTCTTGCCACTGGAGAGATGGCTCCGCCTAAAAGCACTTACTGCTCTACCAGAAGTCCTGGGTTCGATTCCCAGCACCCACATGGCAGCTCACAACCATCTAACTCCAATCCTAGTGGATCAGATGACCAACCTCTTCTGACCTCTGTGGCCATTGCATGCAGTGGTGCACAGACATACATGCGGTAAAAACACCCATACATGCATAAGCCATGTCGTCAGACCTGGGTGGCATCTGAGGCATCACTGGGTCCCAGAAGAAGTTAGCTCAGAGAATGATTGCATTTGAATAGAAAACGATAAGCCTTTCCTTACTTGACACTGTGGAGAAAAGTTAACCACGCCCACTTAGCAGCACATGCACTAAAATTGGAATGAAACAGAGAAGGTTAGCATGGCCCCTGTGCAAAGATGACACACATTCATGAAGCGTTGCAGAAGGGGAGGGAGAGAGAAAGAAGGAAAAGCTAACCATGTGGATTATTATTTTAAGATGTGTTACATTTGTTTATGCTGTGGAACATTTGTTTAAAGATACAAAGATGTCTAATGTTACATTTGTTTAAGGTGAAGCTGTGTTCTTTGCCTGTCTAAAACACCTGATTGGTCTAATAAAGAGCTGAATGGCAAGGCTGGAGAAAGGATAGGTAGGGTTAGCAGTCAGAGAGACTAAATAGAAGAAATCTGGGAGAAGGGATTGAGTTGCAGGGAGAGGAGGATGACCCCTGGGGCTAGCTACACAGCAAGCCACTGAATAAGAAAGGTATATGGAATAGAGCAAAATAAAAGCCCAGAGGCAAAAGATAGACAGGGTGATTTAAGTTAAGAAAAGCTGTCAAGAAACAAGCCAAGCTAAAGCTGGGCAGTCATAAATAAGAATAAGCACCTGTGTGACTTATTTGGGAGCTGGGCCCCCAAAGAGCCAAAAGAGTGAAAACCAACCAACTACAGCTAACTTCAAGTAAACCACAGACATCAATCAGGAAAACCACTAAAATGAGAAATGGGGGTGGAGTCTTACAACTATGATAGACAAAAATTTAAAACAAAAGAAAGATAACGTGGGTTTAACAAAAGCTGTATTTCTTCTCTTTTTTCCTGAGACGCCATTAAGATTCCTAAGAAGTCAGGTATAGTGGCTCCCAGTCCTGTCGTCCTAGCCCTTGGGAGGTTGAATCAGGAGGATTGCCATGAAATTTGAAGCCAGCCTGGGCCTCATAGTGAGTTCAAGCCAAGCTAAGCTCTTGGGCAAGACCCTATCTCATAAAAAACAAACAAAAACCCATTCATTACAAGATGGTCAAAGCTGGGCAAGATAGCACACATATTTAACCCCAGCACTCAGGAGGCAGAGGCTGGTGATCTCTGAGTTCAAGGCCATCCTGGTCTACTGCTAAGGGTAGGTATAGAAACCATGACTTGAAAATCTAAATAAACAAGATGAATCAAAACAGGTTAAAAGACTTAAACAGACTGTTACAAAACTATACAGATAAGATTCATAGCATTAGTCATCAAGGAACTGCCAGCCCATATCTCTGCTTAAAAGAAATGACTGGTAGTGTGGAGCTTTGGTAGGACACAGCACAGCATTTCTGAGAGACGTATAAGAGGGTGCAGGCCCTTGGGGAAACAGCTCGGCAGTCCCTCCCAGAGGTGGGCTCTTATCATAGAACCCAGCAACTCCATTCCTTGGTGTTTATCAGGAGTAATGAAAACATACATCCCCCAAGATAAGGACATTCATGACAGCTTCATTCATTAAAGCCACAACTGGACACAATACAAATGTCTGTTAGAATTCAGTCCAAATACTGAAACCACAGAGTAATTTGAAATAGGGAATGTAGTTGTAGTATGATTTTTTTTTATTCTTTTGCCTCTTGAGGGGCCCACCACCCAGCTCCCAAATAAATCATACACAGAGAGGCTTATTCTTACTTATGAACGCATAGCCTTAGCTTAACTTGTTTCTTGCCAGCTTTTCCTAACTTAAATTAACCCATCTACCCTTTCCCTCTGGGCTTTTATCTTTCTTACTTCTGTATACCTTATTTCCCTTCTTACTCTGTGGCCGGGTGGCCGGGTGGCCAGCCTCTGAAGTCCTTTTCTCCTTGTTCTCTCCTTGCTGCTCCCTTTCCTCGTTTCTCCTATTTATTCCCTCTGCCTGCCAGCCCTGCCTATCTTTGCTCCTGCCTTGCTATTGGCCGTTCAGCTCTTTATTAGACCATCAGGTGTTTTGAACAGACAAAGAATCCCAGCTTCACTGAGTTAAACAAGTGCGGCATAAACAAAAGTCACACACCTTAAAATAATAATCTACCATGAGGGAATTCCTTTATATAATTATTTAAGTTGTTTGTTCTGGTTTGGTTTTGGTTTTTTGAGACAGGGTTTTTCTATGTAACAGCTCTGGCTATCCTGGCACACACTTTGTAGACCAGGTTGGCCTTGAACTTACAGAGACCCACCTGCCTCTGCGTCCCAAATGCACATGCCGCCACTACCTGTAAACTCCGTCTTCAACTACCCAGCAAGTTTTTTGTTTGTTTTTGTTTTTAAGACATGTTTTCACTATGTGACCCAGGCTAGCTTGGAACTCAATATATATAACTTAACCTGAGGCCAGTTATACCTCTTCACATCCAGCTTAATAATGGCATTTTAACGTAAAAAAAAAAAAAAAAAAAAACCAGAAAATGACCAGTTTAGTCAGGTGTGGTGGCTCATGCCTGTAATCCAAAAAACGAGGAGATGGAGGCAGGAGAATCATGGTAAATTCAAGGCCCGCCTGGACTACATAATGAGACCCTGTCTCTAGAAAGATAAATAACAAAAGAAAAAACAATTTTGGAACAGCTATGAAGGTGCAAAAGGAACTGGAGAAGTCTGGTGTAGTGCAGTGGTAGAACGCTCGCCTAGCATATACAAGGCCCTGAGTTCAATTCCCAGTACTTCACACAAAATGATCTGAAGACTGCCCTAAAGCTGAGGGAAAGTACACAAACAGATTGAAAGAAGGGACTCTTCTGGAAGCTAGGATTTAAACCTGCGGGAAAACATGTATGATAATGTAAGTATCTGAGACTGATATTGGGGTTCAAGCATCGAGGTGAAGATCAGAAAAAAGCAGGGCACCACTTCTTACCTCCACATCAGCTCAGACCAAAGGGGCAAACCTCAGACTGCTCCCCACTCCACTGCTCCTCAGAGTCGCTCAGACTACTATTGCTCTCCTCAGTGTGGCTGGAGACTAACTCAGACTTCAGTGTCTCTCTGTTCTCAACGTGGCTGGAGACTGAATTCGTGCTCTGAGACCCTGCTTCTGTCTTATATACCTCCCTAATGCTGGGATTGAAGGCTTGTGATCCCAAGTGCCGAGATCATTTTTGTGTGAGCTGTTTCTCTTTAGGACTGGATCATTTTCGTGTAGTTAGAGTGGCCTTGAACTAACAGAGATCCACCTACCTCTTAATCCTGAGTCCTGGGATTAAAAATGTATGCCTGGTTTCTATAACATGTAGCTGACTTTGCTTTCTGAATCCTCAGGCAAGCTTTACTAAACCTAAATAATATATCACCACAGGTGTCAGAATACACCTTTAATCCCAGCACTAGGGAGGCAGAGGCAGGTGGATCTCTGAGAGTTCAAGGCCAACCTGGTCTACAGAGTGAGTTCCAGGGCAGCCAGGGCTACACAGAGAAGTCATGACTCAAAAACAAGCAAACAAACAAAGCAGAAGTAGTAGTGGTATGCTGAGCCACCAGGCTGGATCTGGTAGCAGAAACACCCAAATACAGGCAGGTTGTGACAACTAGCAGAAGTGCCCAGAGAGTAATGAACCTACTTGCAGATGGAATGGAGTGGTGCACGCCTGGTGTCCACACAGGGAGGGATGCTGGAACACCCTTCAGGGAGCTGGTGAGCAGAAGCTGGGAGTTGTTGATACACAGGAGTCAAGAATGTCAGGGCCAGTTGGGCTGAGCAAGACCTGGGGTGGGCAGTGTTCTCAATGGGCACACTGTTCAAGGTGGCTCTGGGCTAGGGCTATATTTTGGTAGGTGTTAATGTGATGGGGACACACAGCCAGGGCAAGACACTAACAGATATATCCCATGCAAGTGCCTCTGGCATTAGGAGAGTAAAACTCAACTGGAGCCAGGAAGGGAAATTCAAGGTCCTGCCTGCTGCGATGACTCTGCAGCGCCATCTACTGACAAAACCTCATGCTCTCACGGAAAGAGCCCCTCAAAGCGGAGGTTCTCACCTGCCTGCCAGTTGCAACCCCTCTCCGGGGGTTGAACAACCCTTTCACAGGAGTCACCAAAGACCATCAGAAAACAGATATTTATATCACGATGTGTTACAGTAGCAAAATTATGGTTATGATGTAGCAACAAAATAATCTTATGGTTGGGGGGCCACCACAACATAAGAGGCATTAGGAATTTTGAGAACCGCCTTAAAGGAACTGTGCCCCCGTGGAGGAACAGGTAACGGAGGGTAGACTGGAAGATGTGTAACTGCCATATCTACCTACAGGTGCAATGGGAAAAGCCACCTGTGTGTGGCATATTGATTCAGGCAATTGTTAACACTACTGTTTACAAGCAACAGCAAAGATGAAGAGCAAAGATGGCCTGCCAAAACAACAACAACAACAAACCCACAGGAAAGAAAAGGCACAATGGGTAAATATCATTACATTAAATTCTAGAACAGTCGAGGCTAGTCTTCAGGGAGAAAATATCAATTAGTAAATTAAATGTGGTGCCTTAGGCTTGTAATTCCAACACTCAGGGAGCTGAGGCAGGAGGATCAAGTGTTCAAGGAATAATCTGGGTTACATAGCCACACCCTATCCCCAAACAAAGCGATGAAAAAGAATGCATTGTATCTTCTGTAATTATACCTCCATAATACCTATTTTTAAAATGTCATCCCAAAATAGCAGTCTATGGTGCAGGATGGAGACTCATCCTGTCCAAACCCTGCTCCCAGGGAATTCCTGGTCAGGAGCCATTTGAAGGGACTGGAGCTTTGGCGAGAATTCCCCCCCCCCCACCCCAGGAGGTGGAATGTAAAGGTGGGAATGTCTTCATGGCAAGAGTGAATCAGCCTAGATTATCCCCAGGGTACAGCTGAGGTGGTATACCTGCTCAGGAGAATTAAACCATGTCCGGGCATTCTTCTCATCTAGTGGATTTGCTTTCCACAACTGTAATAAACACTATGGCCGAATGCATGTTGGGGAGGAAAGAGTTTGTTTCCTCTTACACTTTGTATCCATCATGACAGGAGTCAAGGCAGGAACCTGGAGATAGAAACTGATGCAGAGACCAGGCAACACTGCTTACTGGCTTGCTCTCCAAGGCTTGCTCGGCTTGCTTTCTTATACACTCCAGGACCACCTGCCCAGTTACGGCATGGCCAAAGTGGGTTA